TGTTTAAAGTTAGGTTTGTGTGAATGCCCATAAGTGATTGCTGGCTAACAGGTAAAGGTAACTTAATTGTTTTAACCTAATTGTTTAAGTGGATTAAGCATGGAACAATTAAGCAGTGCCAATAAAAAAAACTTTAGAATTGTGTTGTTTAAATGAGTAGTTTGAACAAACAGCAAAAGTCATTTACAGCACTTTTTTGGGTTTTGGTATTGAGGTACAGAATAATCAAATTATATAACAATATCCTCATTATATAAATAATTACAATTATCTTTTGTTTAAGTGATAATTAAATCTTAAATCTCTTAAATCTTACAATCACAGACCTTAAAAAAACACTTCCCTAAAAAACGTCACACTATTAGATTAGAGTTCAACTTTTCATCGACTCCGCAAATAATGTGTTCTGAACTCTCAACAGAGAATTGAACCATTATTGAGCTAAAACTGTGAAGCGAGCTAGCCAATTATTACACTCACTGACCTCTAAGATGTTTTACAATGTCGAAAGATGTTGCTCAAAGACGCTCTTTCTTCATCCAATTATAATGGCTTTTGGAAACTTACCATGTGAAGTCACCATCTGACCTTTGAGTGAAATCTGGTACAGGACATTCCAGCTTCCCTTTTTTGTAAAAGATTCTTCGGCCTGTGTCAGGACAGTAAGAATAAGCCGACTATCTCAGGTTACGACTGGCCTTGGAAGAAAGCAGGTCTTTGTGATTGGCAGTGGCAGACAGTGTGCCAGAGCCCTTTATTGATTGCATTTTGAGCACAAAGCAACATCAGGCTTCCAACATTATTTTCTGTGAAATCAAGGCTGGTGTATTTTTTTATCTGCTCTGTCTGTCTGTCTGCCTTTAATTCAGGTTTGTGTATAGCACTTTTCACAATGATCATTCCAAAGCAGCTTTACAAAATAACAATCATAAAATATATTACAATCAAAACCAGAGAGAGTTAAATGTCCTGTGAAGTGCTTTGAAATGCCCTTTTTTTATCTTGATGATTGACAATCTCAACTGAAACATGAAGACAGGGCGGGGCATATAGTAGCTCCTCCTTTAAAAAAAAAAAAACAGCCTATAGCATTTTGCTGTTTTCACAGCTTTGCCTGAGAGCGCATCAAAGGAAAAGCAAATGAGAAGCATCTTGAAGGGTGGCAGGACATGTCAGATACCAAAGAGCATTTGATTGTTTAGAAGATGGTGATGTTAAAAAATGTTGATCTATTGTGGCGGAAGTGACAAACTGCAGGCTTTGGATGTTTATTTCTTTTAAATGTGAATTGTGTCATTGACTTGTAGCACACTAGCTTATATACAGTTGAAGTCAGAATTATTAGCCCCCCCTGAATTAAGGGGGGGAGGGGGGCTATTAATTAAAGATTTTTTTTCAACACATTTCTAAACATAATAGTTTTAACATCTCATTTCTAATAACTGATTTATTTTATCTTTAGCATGATGACAGTAAATAATATTTGACTAGATGATTTTCAAGACTCTTCAATACAGCTTAAAGTGACATTTAAAGTCTTAATTAGGTTAATTCGGTTTGCTAGGCAGGTTAGGGTAATTAGGCAAGTTATTGTATAACGATAGTTTGTTCTGTAGACTATCAAAAAATAAAAAATAAAATAAAAATTAGCTTAAAGGGGCTAATGATTTTGTCCCTAAAATGTTTTTAAAATTTTTTTAAATCTTTTATTCTAGCCGAAATAAAACAAGACTTTCTTCAGAAGAAAAAAATATTATCAGACATACTGTGAAAATTTCCTTGCACTGTTTTAAAATATTTTAAACTTGTAAAACTCATTCTTGATCACATTTGATGATGATTGATGATTACAGAGAGCTGAACAGATCTTTTAAATCCAGTTGCTTTGCGCATGTTCTATCTTGTTGATATGATTATATGCATTACTATGGAGACATGTTAAAGCGGTTGTCAATCAGTTCAGTGGGTGGGAAAATCACAATCCTACTTCACGTTGCGGTTGTCGGCCTCAAAATGGGAGGGATTTGGATCCTATTTTAACATCAGGAAATTTAAAAAAAGGGGCTTAATGTCTTTATATCACCCCAGTATGACTGTGGACACACTATACCTACACACAATTCTGTCCAAACAGCTTACAAAAGATGACTTTTAACATGGGTGCCCTTTAAGGTAGCATTCAGAAAATACAATGACCCGCAAAGAAACTTGACACAGAGGAACATAACCTCACTGTCAGCTAGCGTTTTGGAAGTGTTCTTACAGAGACAAACGGCACACAGAAGCATAAATGCACGGCAACATGCAAGGCATGACTTGATCACTCGACGTGGAAGTATAAATCAGCCTTAAGAGTAACATACTGATACTAACAGCTAAAAAACTTTATTTTAATTTCGTGGGGCCTTTATAGTGTTGATTATAGGGAGGACGGTAATGTGTGTCTATCTAGTTAACCTAGAAAATATATAGTGTACATTTCACAAATGTGGTGTCTGTGCAGTTTGATTTCAAAATTAAAAAAATGTATTCTAGAAAGTGTAATAAATATTTTAAACTCATAGCTGTGTTTCCTGCTGTGACAGTAGCTTTCCCCTGACAACATGTAGTCAAGGCCAGTGACCAGAGTGACAAGTGGGGGAAAAAAATTATCTCTCATTTTATCAATGAAATAGACTATTTTTTTGTAGTTGGCCCCTTTGTTTTGGTTTAGTTTTTTTTTTTTCATGATTCTAATTGTAAATTTTTTTTTTAATTTTTTAATTATTTAATTATTTAATAATGGGAATTAATTTAATGTAATGTACTCCAAAAAGGAAAAAAAAGAGAATGATCTGTTACTTTGCTTACACTATCCAAAGTACAGGCGACCAAGAATACAAAGTACATTGGTGTTATTAGTCAGTTTAATATTTGCTGTCTAAAATGAAGAAAATATATTTTTTTACAATCTTATGGCATTATTGAAAATGAAACTAATGTTTTGTTGTGAAAATACACATCTTGTATAACTTCTAAAAATTCTAACAACCATTACATTTGTTCAATTCTGGACTAACTGAATATATTAATTTAGTGTTTATTTATATTACAAATCGTTGATTTTGGTGATAAGGCTTTGTGAATTTATGTACATTCAGATTTTCTTATTTTTATATATTTACATATACTTGAGTTTCGGTAATATACATTATACATTATTTTAAATATTTCCCAAATAATGATTAACAGAGCAAGGAATTTTTCCACAGTATTTCCTATAATATTTTTTCTGCTGGTAGTGTCTTTGTTTTATTTTGGCTAGAATAAAAGCAGTTGTTAATCAACAATATTTTGAGGTCAACATTATTAGCCATCTTATTCAATATTTTCTTTTTTACGATTCTCTACAAAACAAACCATTGCTGTACAGTTACTTGCCTAGTTAATCTAATTAACCTATTTAAGCCTTTAAACTGCACTTTAATGTTGGATACTAGTATCTTGAAAAATATCTAGCACCTTGACTGCAGCTCTGCACAAGACGTTTGGCCATAGGAGAAATGGTCATGCCCAACTGAGCCTGGTTTCTCTCATTCATTAAGAAATCATTCATTATAAAATTAGTTTTGAATCATGTGTTTAATGTATTTAAAAAAATCTACTCTCCACTTAACAGGAATTGGAAAAAAAAAAATCTAAAAGAATTAAAATGTCACAGGAGGGCTAATATTATGATTTCAGTGTATAATTGAATTTAAATAAAAATCTATATAAGTTTTTTAAAGCAGTTCTATAATGTATCATTGTTTCTTTGTGCCTCCTTTTTAAGTGTGCACTCTACATATTTTTCTGCAATCACTAAACTAACAAGCAGGGAATTTGTGGAGTCAATCATCATGATAGAGTATGTTATGCTGCAAAATGATTATGGTTTGCTATTATGATCATACCCCTGGGTGTGTGTTAAGTTGTAGTATTAAGAAAAGGTATGGTAACTGGTTTCAAGGTTTACTGTGGTTTAGAAAGGTCATAGGTAGGTCTATCATGAATCTGCTTGCACAGAATTCCTCAGATTTCCGCAGATTTTTAGCCCATTGTTAATTCTGTTTATTTACATAAGTAAATGTGTGTAAATCTATATGTATTCAGTTTTTAAATGAATTACAGTAATATTATTGACTAATATGAAAATGTTCATCTGATTTATGTACAGTACAGTTTGTACAATAATATTTTCTGTCTTTTACTTGATGAATTATATGACAAACTTGCTTTATTTACCAAATAATAAAGTGAATCTAATTGGATTTGCATTTTAAACATATTAAATAAAAGTTAAAAAGATAGTTTTTTTTATTTAATATATTAAGGTTTTAGTTATGATACTCCCAAAATAATTCCGCAGAAATGCGCAGACTTTTACCAAAATTCTCTGCAGAAATAGCAAAAAACATCAGCAGATTCCTTCTGGCCCTAGTCATAGGTTTTAAAACCGATACAATTTTCTGTTATACAGTTTCAATGTAAATGCAAGTTGTTGTTTTGTTGTCATAAACTATTTATTTTATTAATTTAGGGCTACAGTAACTTCAGTAACTAAAGAGCTACTTTAATAGCTACAGTACTGGTTAGCTCACAGTTCAGCAAACATCTGAAAAACAAATCACTTAAAACCAACATCCTATAGACCAAGTATAAATCTGAACAGTTACCCAATATATTCATAGATAACTTTTTATTTTGGAAAGAAATCTCTGTCAAAAGTCAAAGATCTATTTTAATTGTTTAGCCTGACATGTTTACTGTTCCAAAATATTGTAAATGTTTAGAGCAGTAATCACAATACATAGATTTTTTTTTTTTAATCCAAGTTATCACACCATCTGAATTTTAAACTGGCTCATGCCTAATTAAAAAAGCATTATGAAATGTTTATTATAAGATGAGAACTCTGGAATTGGCACAATTTAGTGAGCTGTGTATCAGATTCTTACCCTTTATTTATTTATTTTTTTCAGGTGGACAAGTACCTGTATCACATGCGACTGTCCAATGAGAACCTGATGGATGTCTCCAAGCGCTTTAGGAAGGAGATGGATAAAGGACTGGGTAGAGACACGAATCCAACCGCAGCTGTCAAGATGCTTCCCACCTTTGTACGCTCCACACCTGATGGCACAGGTAACGGGAATCACATTCTGATTTACAGTTGAAGTCACAATTATTAGCCCCTCAAGGACATGATACAAAGAGAAAAGTGCTTACAATTGAACTTTTAATTATGTTCAAGAGAATTATAAAAATATATAGTTAGCATTTGACAAATACAGCTTCCAGAGTCTCTCTTAGTTCAGTGTTGGATTCGGCTAACAACTTCTTAAAAGAGCAGCTTCACATACAACTGAAGGATGTAACTAGCTGGATCAGGTGTGTTTGATTAGTGTTGGAGCTAAAGCTGTGGCCCTCTGGGAACTGGGTTTGAAACCTTTGTTTTTTTTCTAATGGCTCAGATCATACCATGTTTTTATTATCTGACTAGTTTGACGATATCATGATGATATACATTTCTGTTTAGTAAAAATATAAAAACTGTAAAAGTGAAAATGTAAATTTTTCAGATTTTAAAATGATCATTAAAAATTATCATTACCCTTCCTGCTCACACTTTATATCAGGTAGCCTTGACTAGTATGTACTTGAGTCAAAAATAAGTACAACGTACTTAATGGATTCATAATGTGTTGCAGAACATTTTTGGTGCTCTTGAAGTGGGATGCGGTTGTGTTTGGAACAGGTTTGTTGGTGCTTATGGCTTATATAGGGTGCGAATTACAGGGGTGGGGGGAGACTGACCACCCTAATTGATGCTTCACCCCCCCCCCCACCCACCTACCTCAAAGGACATCAAAACAAAATGTATTTGGTGGTCTGCCCTTTAAGAGTTAAGAAATAGTTTGCTCTGTTCTGTGTGTTAAATATTACTAATTAAAATAAGAGATGATGTAAATTATACATTTGTCCACCATAATAATGTTTCTTACCATTGTGAAATGTAAAGCACAAACAGACAGCTTGTGTTCGCAAAAAACATGTTTCTTGTAAAATTGGTGTTTGCAAGTCTCCATAAAACTAGATGCAATATTTGTATTTTATTACACACTTGCTCGCATATGGAAGTTACAATAAAAGTAAAATAAAAAAAATGTGCAGTAAATGTATAATAATTATAATAATAATTATAATAATATACTTTATTTACAAAAGCTAATAATAAAAAGGTTTTATTCTCCTTCAAGATTATTAGTGTCAATATAATTCAGCAAAGGTTTCCATGTTACGTAAAAGATTTTAAAGACTATCTTATTAAGCCATATTAAGTGCAGCTTTAATATCCAAATACATTTTAAGGCATTTAAAGTCCATGTGAGATCATCTTTCATTGTTTATTATGTCAACAATTAATCCATGCAAATTAATCGACTCTTCAATTAAAGTCTGACCGTTTGCTTCTGCGTTTGTAGGAATGATCCTTATTTATTGACGTCAGTTTTATGACATCAGCCACAATACTCTAAACCATCTTACCATTAGTTTGCTTAAAGGTCAATGATGTTCAAAAAGACAGCCCTGCCACCTACTCAATGTTGCATTTCAATTGGATGTACTTCAACACACTGAAATAAGTCCCGATCACACAACTTTTAAATATGAACATCAGTGGTTAAATACTTAATAAAATTATCTAAACAAAACTTGACAAACAGAAAGTGTATAGAACACATTTTGAATGGAAAAACACTTGTATTCTGCTGCAATCGGACTCCATGTGGGTCAGTTCCTAGGCGGAGGTGTATTGTCGTCCTTAGTTTGACCCAGAAGCGCACTGTTGAACACATTGTTCTGTCCTGGAAGTGTTGTGTTCTTTTTTGTTGCGAGATGATGAAATTATTGATCCCGCACTCCAGGTCTGTTGTCATCACCGGTCACGGTTTGATCTGTTTGTGTGTGTGTGTGTTTGTCACACTGACCGACAGCACCAGTCCAATGGCTTCTCTGTATCTGAGGGGTTTTGACTGTGCACGCGGGATGACACAATGTCTCAAGCCGGGTGTGAATAGACTAACTGTAGTCGGGTTACTGGAGTGAATGCCAGCACATAGACATGTAGTCATGTGAGTGTGTGAGCCATAAAACAGTGCCAGGAAATGTTGCCAAGGGAACGATACTGATCTGTGAAATCAAGGTGGGTTTGTGTCCAAGTAGATGTTGTTTTATTCTTTATTCTCATGCCATGATGTGACAGTTAAGAGGCTCCTGATTGTTTAACTTCTCATGGGATTCTTTTATATTTTTCTATAGTAGCTTTGTCTTCTCAGAGATCAAGGTGGTTTTATTGTGATGCTTTTGAAATTAAATATAAAGAGTAATGATAGAATGAGGCTGACGTTTGTACCTGTGCTTTATTCATTACCATGTTGGTACTTTCAGAACTTCAAGTAGCCCAGCAAGCATGTTTTGTTTTTAAAAGATGTCTAATAGGCATCTAAACGTAGTCATCTTGGCTTAAACAAAGCTAAATTTGGGCTGTCAGTGAAAATCTAATAGACGTCTAAGAATAGTCCAAAATTAGACTAGTCATCAAATAGACAGATCCTAGCAAGCATTTAAAAAATATATGTCTTATAGACGTTTAAATGTAGTCGTCTTGACTAAAACAAAGCTAAATTTGGGCTGTCTGTGAAAATCTAATAGACGTCTAAGAATAGTCCAAAATTAGACTATTCGTCATATAGACAGATCCCAGCAACCATCAAAAAAAAAATAGACGTCCAATAGATGTCTAAACATGGCTGTCTTGGCTAAAACAAGGCTAAACTTGGGCTGTCAGTGAAAATCTAATAGACGTCTAAGAATAGTCCAAAATTAGACTAGTCATCAAATAGACAGATCCTAGCAAGCATTTAAAAAATAGATGTCTTATAGACGTTTAAATGTAGTCGTCTTGACTAAAACAAAGCTAAATTTGGGCTGTCTGTGAAAATCTAATAGACGTCTAAGAATAGTCCAAAATTAGACTATTCGTCATATAGACCGATCCCAGCAACCATCAAAAAAAAATAGACGTCTAATAGATGTCTAAACATGGCTGTCTTGGCTAAAACAAGGCTAAACTTGGGCTGTCAGTGAAAATCTAATAGACGTCTAAGAATAGTCCAAAATTAGACTATTCGTCATATAGACAGATCCCAGCAACCATTAAAAAAAATAGATGTCTAATAGATGTCTAAACATGGCTGTCTTGGCTAAAACAAGGCTAAACCTGGGCTGTCAGTGAAAATCTAATAGACATCTAAGAACAGCACAAAACTAGACTAGTCGTCAAATAAACAGATCCCAGCAAGCAAATTTTTTTTTTAAAGATGTCTAATAGACGTCTAAACATAGTCGTCTTGAGTAAAATAGGGGTTAATTTGGGCTGTCAGTGAAAATCTAATAGACGTCTAAGAATAGTCCAAAATTAGACTAGTCATCAAATAGACAGATCCTAGCAAGCATTTAAAAAAATAGATGTCTTATAGACGTTTAAATGTAGTCGTCTTGACTAAAACAAAGCTAAATTTGGGCTGTCAGTGAAAATCTAATAGACGTCTAAGAATAGTCTAAAATTAGACTATTCGTCATATAGACCGATCCCAGCAACCATTAAAAAAATAGATGTCTAATAGATCTCTAAACATGGCTGTCTTGGCTAAAACAAGGCTAAACTTGGGCTGTCAGTGAAAATCTAATAGACATCTAAGAACAGCACAAAACTAGACTAGTCGTCAAATAAACAGATCCCAGCAAGCAATTAAAAAAAAAAAAAAAAAAGATGTCTAATAGACGTCCAAACATAGTCGTCTTGAGTAAAATAGGGGTTAATTTGGGCTGTCAGTGAAAATCTAATAGACGTCTAAGAATAGGCCAAAACTAGACTTTTCGTTAAATAAACAATAATGAATGACTATACATAAAAAGTGGGTCTAATTGATGACTAGTCTAGTTTTGGGCTATTCTCATGCTGTGTTCACTTCAGGTGCGGAATGCATAAATAAATCACTTTATTTGTGCGTAAGTAGATGCGCGAACATTTTGAGTTTACTCTCTTCATTCGTGTGTCAAATCAGTATAATTCGTGCGTCAAATTCACTTCACAATAGACGCAGATTCGTGTCATGGGCAGGGCTTCTGTCTGCTCGGTGACTTATTTAGCTTTGTTGTTAAATGAGACCACTAGAACCTTTCAGGGATGTACCCAGCTCTGTGAGTCTAACTCCTCCAGAAACTACACCTGGATGATAGGCTTTAAGCGATGCTTCTGACTGAGCCGAGCCCAGTTTAATGAACTGTTGTCTGGTGCCTGCAAGAGGATTTTCCCCCAGGGCACCAACGACAGGCGCTACGTCGTCATAACTCCCCTACAAGAAAAAGCTCCTGATTGGTTAACGTGGCACAAATGTCCGGTAAAGTTTAGATTTTCCAACTCAAGTGAATCGTGCTATATGTGTGTTAAACACGTCAATCGCACAGAATTTTAAGCTCATGCCGATTCGTTTGTACGAATTGCATCATTCACGCGAATCGCACTGCAGGATGTCTATTTGAGTCTTTAAATTGACTTAGCATGTAGATCCCTCACTCAAGATGCTTCATCTGCGTCTGGTGTGAACGCAGCATTAGATGCCTATCAGATTTTTACTAAGAGACCAAGTTTAGCCTTGTTTAAGCTAAGCTGTCTACATTTAGATGTCTTTTAAACTCAAATTGTTTGCTGGAACGGCTGTGAATGATTACGGTTGATCCGTGATTCATATACACCATCCACAGTGACCCGTGGATTATAGTTGGCTGATAGTTTTTTATTACTTGTAGATTTATCCTAAAATTGTAAAGATCGCAGAGAGATCACCTTTCATGCCATTTAAATCGCATATATGAAAGCATTTAGGCTTTCCTGTAAAAATATAGTAATGATGGAAGAAGTTTGTGGTAGGTTATTTGGGATATGGAGGGTTTCTTAGCCTATTAAAGGTGTTTTCTGCCACTACTTGTTCAGCCTGCGTTAATGCAGTCAGTGTAAACTGCACCATTAATCATTAAAAGATCGGGATCTCAACACCCACGCAACAGAAATTATAAATGATGGTGATTTGCATGTTTATTAATCCTTCCAGTCTCTACATTTAAATCTGTGTTTGAAAAAATGCAAAAATCAAGATAGAGATTCAATCTTTAGTCTTTTGAGTTAGTAATGAAGTTACAAACAGTCAAATAACACAGAAGTACTAATATAAGCTTATAGTTTAGATAAAACCACTGATGCTCAAAAATGAAATATGTAGGCAGCAATTACATTATTTTATCAATAGATGGCGACACAACCTGCCATTAAAATGTCACATGATTCTTTATTTTCTACATTTAGCAATAAAACATGGAGTGAATAACTGAATTATTTATTGAAAATGAGACTAAATATAAATATGGGTTGTGCAAATGATAATGTTAGATTTCTACATTTAGCGTTATCATAAACAGTTATTTTAACAGTGAATTTTTACACAGTACTGAATAGTTTACGGTTTATTAAGCCGATTATTTCTTCATTTTATTTTTAAGAAAATTACAGGCTCTAAGTTCTGTTTGTTAAAACCAAGTGTCTTGCAGTACTGTTTTTGTAATAAATGGAAAGCTAAATACATTTGTCGTCTCCCCTTTTTGGCAGATCTGAAAAATGGTTTGATCCGTGATATAAAAATAACAATGTAATGCGAACCGTGGGATTTGTGATCCATTACACTCCTATTAACAAGTGGAAAAGGTCAATAATGGAAATGGATTTGTTGTTAAAACTTTGACGTTCATTTGACATCCACAAACTGATGCTCTATTGAAAACCAAAATAAGGGATATAACATCAAATTTGTATACAACTAAAAGCTTCAACTTCAAATTTAAACTGAAGTTTGTCTCCCAGTTTGTGTACAGGACCAGTAGAATCTGCAGACATTGTTTTTTAGATTTCTGCGAAGAAGTTTGAAAAGGATCTGTGGATTTTTGTGAAACAATTTTGACTAAATAGTAGCTAAACTCATTAGATTAGCACAAAATTTTTTATTTTTGGTTTAAAATGCTTTAGAACCACTTGTTTTGCAAGCAAAGTAGGTCTATGATATAATCGGTTTCTCATACAATGTAACTACTAAAAGACAGAAAATATTACTTTTCATATATATTGTGCATGTAATCAATAAATATTTGCATACTGCTCAATTATATTGTTAATTAATATAAAAACTAAAAAAAATCCATATTTACACACTTGCATAAGTAAAAAAGCATGAGGAAATGTTGCCAGAGGAACAATACTGTGAAATCAAGAATTTTCTAAATGATCTGTGGATTTTTGTGAAATGGTTTTGAGAATATAGTAACTAAAAGCTGGAAAAAAAACAAAAAAAAAAAATAATAAAATAAAACAAAAAAATAAAAATCATAAAATTTCTGTGGCTATAGGTTGTGGGCATGTTCTTCTTATCGAGATAAATCAAGAAAGAGCAAACATTTAATTTAAAAGAATTTGAAATGGGTTAGTGGCACAATATTGCACATGTACTTTCAAACATTATTGCTTACATTAAATCATTGCTAAGAGATTATTCTTAAAGTCTGACTGTCTTGTTCTTGCAGTCTTGACTTAATTCTTGAAAAATTAAGATGAATTGATTCTGTTTGTAGAAACTGGTGACTTCCTTGCCCTGGACCTGGGAGGAACCAATTTTCGGGTTCTGCTTGTCAAGGTGTCCAGTAATGGAATGCAGAAAGTGGAGATGGAGAACCAGATCTATGCCATTCCAGAGAACATCATGAGGGGCTGTGGGTCTGAGGTGAGAAGTGACAAATTATTTATTAATCATGCTATGCACAATAAGAGTAGTAATAGATTTATTTGTAAAGTAGGACTGCACAATATGTTCTTTCTGCATTAATATCGGAATATGTGCATCTTCAATAAGCGCATCACAGAATCTGCAGTGTTGAACCGGTATTACAGATGATTAGGAACCACAGTTGAAAACACGCTTGATTTGATTTGTGGAGTCATTGAAATGTTTAACCATAAACTTACCAAAACTTTTATAGTTTGAGTGTTTTTAGCTCCTGTTTGAGCATTTCAAGTTAGTTTAAAACAGGGGTGCCCAAACCTTTACTTATAATTTACTTATATATAGACACCAAACTTGATTGAGGGCTGTGGGCTGAAGTTAAATATACCAAACTGTGTTACATCAAATTTGCCATGGATTATTTCAATTTTTTTTTGCTAATGTTTGAAAATAACCATAAATGTTGCTTTAAAACATATTAATTTATTATGCAGTATCATTTTTACCATTTGAAAATGAACTTATTATAGTTCAGTGCTAAATACACTAGTCAAGCTGCTTCTGCTTTTGCCTTGATATGCTCACCAATGTCTTGTGCATTATCCTTTATCTGCCAAGCGAGAGTATTTATGTCCTAAAAGTCTGATTTATGTACAACATTTAAATGAAAAATGTAATTTTGGTTGGCTTTTTTGTAGCTCCTCAAAAAAAAAAAAAAAAAAAAAAAAGGCTACGTTAAATTCGAAATACCAATCTCTGTCAAAGGCATTTGCCACAACCAACTCCCCATCATTCTCCCTCTCTTTTTAGATGGGATAATGAGCCAAGCCAAAGGTTGCCATTGGCCAACTTTGCCCCGTGGCCCTACTTTGGGCACTTCTGATTTAAAGCATCAGGAATACAAAAACATATCTTTGTAACTTTTTAATAAAGCTTAATTATTTATGTACTGTGTACAGATACAGTGTGATTTTTTTTAAATTTGACTCCAAAAATCATAAATCACTTTGTTTTATTAAATTCATTGCTCTATTGTATTTATTAATAGTTGTGATTTGTTTATTATATTTTATGCTGATACACACCCCTACAAAATAATCCCAATGTATTTATCTGGTGAACAATATCAAAATATTTATCATAGTACAATGAAACTATATTGTGCAGCCCCTTTGTTTAGCGTATTTATACATCATATGTGTCACGCTTTACAATAAGGTTTCATTAGTTAATGTATTTATTAATCCAAATTCAACTTTTACTAATGCATTACTTAAACCCAAATTCATAATTCCTATGAACTAACAATGAACGACTGTATTGTCATTTAACTAACGTTATGCAACAGGAATAAATACAGTTATAAATATATTGTTCATTGTTTGTTCATGTTTGTAAATACATTAATTAACCTTAACTATTACAACCTGCGTGTTGCCAAGTGTGACAATAAAATGCTACTCAAAAGTGCTTCACAAGCATGAAAAAATATTGAAAACCATATCAATATAGGGTAATCTAATCCTTGAATGGTTAAACAAATCCAAACTAACCTGATCTTGACCCAACTTGCTTTCGCTGTACAACCAAACCAGCCACACTGGTACATACTTTCTGGTCGTGTTTGAGACTGTCTGATTTTTGGGGGAAAATCTTCAGGTGTTTTTCTGCTGTTTTTTCATTGTCAATAGACCCAAACCCATTAACAGCACTGTTTGGAATCCTACCAGAATATGCTAAATTAAATTCATTACAGGCTGAAAGCGTAGCCTTTGCAACCTTACTGGCTAGACGACTTATGAATTTGAAGTCAGCAGCTCCCCCTTTTTATCGGCTATGGGTTTGTGATTTCCTGCATGCTCTTCGGATGGAAAAGATTTGGTATGCAGTAAAACAAAAGCCAGAACAGTTCCAGAAAGTCTGGAGCTCTTTTCTAAAAAAATTTTAAGGGGAAACATATATCTTCATTGCCTTTCTATCTTTCTTTTCTATGTATCATTTATTTTTATTTGTTTTTATTTGTTTATTATTTTATTTTTGTATCTTATGTTTTTATATCTTTGTGTATAAATGTGGTATTTTATGTTTATTTATATACTTAAGTGTATAATTATGTTTTCCTGAAAATTTCTTGTTTGGTGAATTGTATCAATGCGTATATCTATATGTATCAATATTATGTATATTTTAATGTCTGACCTAAGATGAACCTAAAAAAACAAAAAACAAATCCAAGCTAATTTAAGCAAATATAGAAATCAAACCCAGACACAAGACAAATATACGCAGATAAAAGGAAACAGAAAAAAGCTTAAACCACACTCAACTGTTTGTTTAAAAAAACCCTGTATGCATTACCTTCTAGCAAATCACCAAGTTAACTGCATAACGTCTTTTTATAATCAATCTGATTGAGAAAATCTAAACCTATTAACATTTCTATCATATTTCACCTTAATCACAGTGGGGAAGATCTATTCAACATTTTTGTCAGGTGTTTACCTGCATGAAATTAAAAGCTTTAGATGAAAATAAAACGAATGAACAGATTTTTTAAATTGCATTCCATACGTCATCTTTAAATTCCTCCATGTTCAAAGTTTTAGAAGTGTGCTAACAAGAACAATAATTAAATGCATGTGCTAGATGCCTAAAGAGGTCATGTTAATTGTTTGTCATTTTACCATATGCTGTGAATATCCTGTTTAAGTTATTTCATATACAAAATAACACAAATTTTTCAATATAATAGTTAGAGTATTAAATATCATAATATTAAAGTATATAATTAACTAAACTGCTTAAAAAGATATGAGATATTGAGCTGAATACTGTCTGGTGGAAAAAAAAAAGAAATGTTGTTCTGGTGCTAGAGGTCTTCTTTATCCTTAGTGATGATGACTGTCTGGACTCCAATCATTGCAATTCAACCACAAGAGTCCTTTTATAAGAGTGCATGACCAAGAGGTGGAAGGTACAGTTGGAACCCAGCTGGCAGAAGATGATGAGTTGCACCTGGTTTCTCACAGCCCATGGCATTATGACTTTATAATTTCAATATGAAATGCTTGACCTGAGGAGACTTCGCCACGGTATTGATTGTCAGTCCCCTCTGGATTTTCGCAGGAGCACTTTTCACTTTCGAGAGCTTCTCAGAGTCTTGCTTCCACTTTAGTTTAATGTGAAGAGCTATTCATTTCAAAGCCCCCAATTATGCCTGCTATGATCTGTGCTTAAGATCCTTTAGCCTCCCCAAAACCTCACCCTCTAGACGGGAAAATAACGACAACCTTTGGACCAACTTTTTGAACGTTTTTGAATGTAAAAACTCTTGTCTCTATGCTCTTAATCTACCTAATTAAGGATTCAGGAATGTTTTTCACATATCCGGGTTTCTCCGTAGTGGGAGACGTACATAGTTGGGTGAACTTAGAGCATAGAGAATGGGAGAGTACAACACGTATTTTATTTTACAAAGCTATTTGCTGAAATAATAATGGAAAAATTCTATGATGGGGTTATTGTAGTGCTCTTTTTCTATGGCAAGGAAAGGGCCATAGATTCTTATAAATTGGATCGCACTAATTTGTATTTTAACCCCAAAAAGAAACCCATAACCTGAATTAATATAAACAATCAACAACCAATCTGGTACAAAATTACCTTTCAAAATAAATACAATAAAACGAATAAAGATACACAAACAAAAGAAGTAAAGGTTTGTTTACAAATAAAGCTTTTCGTTTTCCTTTTTTCAAACTCAAACAAAACAACAGAATCAACAGTTCATTTAGAAAAGCTCAAAAATAGTCCATTTAAAATGAATCGGAAAAATAAACAAACCCTGTTGAAGGCCTGTGTCGGTGCTTTTTTTTTGCCCCTTCGCCCTAAGGGTAAATTAGTAACAGTTTATTCTAACCAGATCCCAGGGAGCACGTCAGAACCGGAACTACAGTTCATGAAGAAATAGAGAGGAGTCGGCTGTGTGATGTGTCCAACGCTGCCAGAGGAGCCACTGAGATATCCTGTTTTCTCAGGGCGCTATCTGCAATGTCCGGGATTGTTGTTGTATGGACGATAATTATTGGCGGAGATCTCTGCCTTAGCGGCTAACACTATTTAGTGAACACTGTGTCACAAATAGAACGATGAGATCCAAACGAGAAAATCACTATGCTCACAATCATAGACTTTAAGATTGACAAAAAGGTCTTTCACACGAACAATTACACTGACGAATTGTACCCCACAATACTCCTCTGCTACCCTTATATACCTTCCGGAATATTAATTTTAGGTCTCCTTACAACTAGGCATGGGAGTCAAGGTTTTAAAACCGCCCAAATTTTCTGTAGGTATGTGTAAGATTTTTTTTTATTCACTTTTCTTTTATGACATCAGCATCTTCAGCAGAAAAGAAATCCAAAGATGCCGTTTTAAATTGTAAAGAATTCAGTGTTTTTGAGATTAACGAAGACAGCAGAAGTCAATGATTCATTTTCATTGTTTAGCCTGACATGTTTACTGCTCCAAAATATTATAAATCTTTCTAAAAATAAAATCTATTGTTTTCAAAGGGGAAAAATGTGTTGTTTTTTACCCAGACATTCAAAAAGAATATATTTATATATTTTAGAGCTGTGAGCACAATACCCTGATAACATGATATTTCCAAGGTTATCAAACCATCAGAATCTTATGCCAGCCTGCTTACAACCACTTTCGTTACGACACAACAGGTAAAACTTCTTAATTTAATGTAAATACATAAATTCTGAAACAAAACATTCAATATACAATAAACAAATAATGAAAGAAATTAAAATATAACTAAGTTAATTGATAACTGGGCAGAAAAAGGAAAAAAATATTGTGTAAGACTGATATTGGATGCCAGAAGAGAGAACAACATCAAATTTACTCTCCTTCCCCATAGACGCTACATTAGAAACACCTCTTTTTTTTGTAGCTTGATTCAAAGAGGGGTAATACATACATAAATACACTACCTGCAAAGGTCTTGTCATCGATCCCAGTTGAAAGAGCAAGTTGACTTCTAGTTGATTATTTGGAAAAGTGGCAGAAGGTAGATTTTTCTGATAAATAGTCTGTTGAAATGTATCCCAATCTTCACAAATACTGTAGAAGACATATTGGATTTTTTCTGGCACTTATACATTTTGAATGTTATAAATCCATAATTTATGTAATACATTTAAAATAATCATGAAGTTTCCTAAAACAATCGCTAAATATTCAATCACTCTTTCAATTCTAGTTGTATAAAACCAACGTCATTCATTCATTGTATCTTGAGGCACGAGATCTCATCAAACTCCTACTACAGCTAAGTAAGGTAATGTAATTAAATTTAGTCTGCAATCCCCCCACTCCTCAAGTTTTTTGATCACATAGTTGAATACTTGGCCAATTTCCTTGAAGCAATTATAAATCTAAAATTACTGGTTAAATCATCCGGTGAATGCTTAATTGTTATGCAAGTCGATATCCTGATCATGTTCCCTCCCCAAGCACATTTTACCAGTAGCAAAGCACACAAGTCTTAATCAGCGCTGTAATATGTATATAATCAGTTATAAGTGATGTATAATTGTTAACAAGGGCTAAAAGTGTGGATTTGTGTAATTATCAAGCAAATTTCTTTCCCGTCTGAGTTACATCTCTTCTTTTTTTTTTAAGTCAAAAATGATTAAAAGCCCACAGGAAAGATGTGATGCTATAAGAATTGAAGAATGAAAAAGTAGCCGTGTGAATGAGAAAAAAAAGCTCACTATGGAAGCAGGATCACAAAAAACAGGTTGAAAGAAAAACCCTTTAAAAATTAAGGCAAATAGTTCTCATTTTTTACCAAAAGTACAAAGGGTCAAGGTAAAACAACTTGAAAGAAAAATGTGATGCTGGTGTGCTTCACTAAAGCCTGATTACTATTTTTCAAGTCATTTCAAATTGAGCTTTATTGTCATTTCGCTGTATGTTTGGACATCAATTGGAACAAAAGGTTGCATCTCACGGTGCTGCATAAATGAATATAATCACAAATATGAAGACAACACTGGACAGAAGACAGAACAATTTTGTGCAAGATATTGAGAGATATTTAAAGTTGAATAAAACAAGTAGTGCAGCATGATTGTGTGGTACATAGGGCTGCACGATTCTGGCTAAAATAAGAATCATGATGTTTTTTTACTTAAAATCAAGATCACAATTTTCTCACGATTCTGTAGATGTAAAATAAAGGTTAATATGAGTATGAGTAATATGAGTTAATATGTTAATGGGCCACCAAACCCCCCCTGTTTCAGCAGGGTGTTTTCACATCTCTAGTTTGGAAAAAGGTCAGGAAAGTAGGCGTGTCCAGCTCGGTTTAGGGGGGAGCGTCGGGGGAGGGAAAGCGCAAAAATGGGAGTTTCGGTTTGGGCACATGCTGGTTTTCACCATGGCAAAACAAACACACAGACGCAGGGCAGTTAGACAGTGATTGTGTTTACATGGACATTAGTAATCAAATTATTTGGCAAATTAATAAATGGTGGACTTTAACTGCAGTTTGGCACTTTCATTCAGAAACTTTTCATTCATGCCTCTCATGACAAACAAGATATTTGATTCGAGGAACTGCTGAAAGTGTGTAGTTTTAATGGAATGTTTGAATGAGAGAAAAACCCTTCGCGTTTCTCTGCAACTTAGATGCACTTGGTAGGTAGCGTCAGAAAGCTGTGTGTGTATAGACCATCCTGTCACAAAATGCGGTGAAAATCCTACACGAAGGTAATAGTTTGATTGAAGTGTTTACATATTTACCCTTGGAGAGCTGTATTTACAGCGGATCTTTCATCCCATAATATTGTAGTGATATTAATGTTCTGTGAACTTTAGTAACTTAGAAATCATTTGGACTAAAGTCCGTCTTTAAACACTGAAAGAGTACTGCTGAAGATACAAACTAACCTTGCCATCTGAATAAACAAACAAAGACCACTGATCGCTTACTTACCAAATCTGTAGAGACAAGACAATCTACACCAACTGGAGCTGCGTCTTTATTAAAAGGAGACGAGCGGCAAATCTAGATTTCGCCTTTCCAGATGAGAAAAGCTCTCGGGTAAAAAATGTTCCTTAAACACTTTCTTGTCTTTCACTTGTTTTGGCAACACAACTTGGCATCTCTCTGCCGTCTGAACACTGTACAGGTAAAAACGAAGCTATCATGCATATTAATGAAGTTGCACCGCACACACAATAGAGCATGCTGATTGATTTGAACCAAGTCTCTCTCATGAATTAATGCTGCACACTCAGAGATATCACGATGCACTCACAGTCATTCTCCAGGCTTGCACTCGCGCTAGTGATGTTTGTTTGTAAACCAATAGCATTCAGCTGCGCGTCTAGCTCTGCCTTGTACCCTTTGGAAAGGGTACCCAAAAAGTGGTATGGTTCACTTTTATGTACCTTTTGACAGTGGAAACGGACAAAAAGGTGTGCTGAGCCGTACTCTACCACTCAGTGGAAAGGGTCCTTTGAAGTGTCAGAGAGATAAAGGCATGCATTTTCTACAGGTGGTTTGTCAAGCCCACTCACCAGTGTGAGGCATACTTCAGAAATGCACAATGTTTTTTTTCACAAGATATAGAGTGATTGTGAGAGAGTCTGGTGCAGATGTGCAAACTGGTGCAAGTGTAAGTTTTAATGGTCAGAGAGATGGAAAAGTATGTTTCTGAAAGTGAAAGCTGTCTGGCACCAGCAACTGCAACACATTCAGAATTGCTTAAAGCACATTTCTTCCTCATTGTGATCTAATTTGAGCTTCAGCAGATTGTGTCTTGTCTTTGTGACCATTGTGTCTTTAAGCCGTTAAAAAGGTTTACCTTAATAACGTCATTAATGAATGTGGCCAAATATGGTGTTATACAAACATATGTCAATGAAATGATGCAATGAACATTTCAGCTCTCATATTGGCATACTTTTGTATGCAACGAATAAATAATCTAAACTAAGTGGTTGATTTAAATCAATCCTGTTCCCCCCCAATCTCCCCCCTCCCATTTTCTTTTCCAGCTCTTCGATCACATAGCCGAATGTTTGGCCAATTTCCTTGAAAAACTGGGCATCAAAGAGAAGAAGCTGCCTCTTGGCTTCACCTTTTCATTTCCTTGCCAGCAGACCAAACTAGATGAGGTGAGATGAGAAAGGATTAAAAAAAAAAAAAAAGAAGTCTAAAATTAGCAACTCTTCGCCAAGAATGTCATGTTTCCATGGTTGCTCTTATTACTTTATAGAGTTTTCTGGTGTCATGGACCAAAGGTTTCAAGGCAAGTGGAGTGGAGGGGAAAGATGTCGTGAGCCTGTTAAGAAAAGCCATCAGGAAGAGAGGGGTGAGTGTGTTGGGTCATCGTGTCATGCTTTTTACATTCTTTATGCCATTGGTTTTAATGGGCTTTCTAGTACAGTCCTAACGATCTTCACTCTCCGGGAAAAAAGTACTAGCATGTACCATTTAGATACTAATGTTCTATAAATGTATACCATTAAAGGAATGGATCGTTAAAAATGAAAACAACTTACTCACCCTCAAGCCATTCTCATGTATTTGATATATATATATATATTTTTCATCAGATGCAAACTGTTGGTGTAGTTTTACATTTGCTTCCCTGCTGTATAACGGTGTTTGATAGTGAATTTTAGTTTAAAGCTAGTAAAAGTGCATAAATCGGTTGTCAAGCTTACTTAAATGGGTTAACAATTGTCTTAAGCAGTTTAAAAAAATAAATATTTATTATTTTTAAGTTGTAAACTCACTGACATTCTATGGCGGCTAAATGTGGAAGTGCGCTCATTTTTGCTATTGTTTTAGAACTTCCGGTTCAATCGCCAATGGGAGTCATGACTAGGAATAATAAACGGCAGAAAATGGTCAAACTAATTGCTCTACAAACAAGTATGTTCATGTCTATACTTAAATTAGAATAATATGATAAGAAAAAATCAATTTTAACATCTAGAAAGTAGTGGAAGTGAAAGAGACCGGAAGTCTTGAGCTAAGAAGATTCCAATGGCTGCACCTGCTCATACGTGTAGAATAAGATCAATACATCGTTTCACGGAAGATGGATAGACATACTTCAGATAAGGCTGGGTGATGTGGCCTTTTAATGCCAATTTAAATAGATTTATTTTATTTGTTTCTTTATTTTTTCTCCCCACAGAAAATGCTTGGAATTAAAGGTTATTAGTCTATAGACCATTTTAAGAGATGTTAAAAAAAAAACTAACAAAAAAAATGGTCCCAGTTTATTTTCTGTTTTATATTTTTAATTTCTATTGCTTCCGAGAATCCAAAAAGAGCCAAATATTGAAAAATATTGTTTTGCTGGCTGTTTTATCGTTAGGTTATGATTGAATTGTGTCTTGTTACAGTTATGAATTAGTTTGATAACAAGCAGGAAATGTTCATGGGCCAATAACATCACCACATTGAAATGGTCTACATGGTTAATTGTAGGATTTAAAGATGCTAAAGAATAAAAGCTTTGAAAGTCATTGAAAGATCAAATTTAACAAGTTATATTTATAATTGCATTTAAGGGTACTTTCACAACTAGACTTTTGTTTCTGAACCGGTCTTGTTTACCCAGTTAGCGTGGCTTGTTTCAAACCAGTAAACTTTGCCATGTGAAAGCGAACCACACCAAGAACAAAGAGCAACAATGTTCCGAAACTGATTAAAATAGTTACATATGAATCGATTCACAGGTGTGAGAGCACCCTAAGACTTTTATAATAATAATAATAATAATAATAATATAAATTAAACTATGGTGACCGAGAGAGCTTAACGTGCCGCAATTTAAGAAAACACATTGAGCAAATTGAGAAACAAAAGACAGGATTAGCTTGACAGGACATGTGCTGCAAATAATCCCAACCCAAACACATTTTTAAAAACACACTGCATTTTCACACAATGCAAAAAAAAAAAAAAGATCACAACGGAAATGTTTCAAAGGGATCCAGAAATGTGACCGACTCTGCTGTGCCGTGACTTTTGTTTGTTTGTTTATTTTAATAACCTGATTCTTGTGTCTTTAGTATTTATTTGCCTTAACCATAACCATAACCTAAATTGCCGGATTCGTAGCGTTTTAGGGTCTAGAAACATTTCCATTGTGTCGTGAGAAAGTGTAATGTAATCTAATGTGTATTTATGTAGAATAATCTAGAACACTGAGCGAGTTTGTCAGTGTTGATATTTACAGTAATGAACATCTTTACAGCTAGGACACGTCATTTATCCGGAAACCGCAACGTTGGATTCCACCATTAGATCGATACTTGCTTTCATATGCGTTTGATCTCCATTAATTGTCTCCTCCATTACTTCTTGCACTGAGAAATACAAGGTGGGGTGCACAGTTTTAAATTTGCCTGTCTGACTGTATGCGTGAGTTATGGTGTTATTTTTTTCCATTTCAAACATCGCAACATTTCTTCGTGGCTTGCTGCCATGTTGTTTGTGTATTTCTATGGCAAATGCAGAGGGAATTATGGGAACCCAGAGGGGAACGTCAAGTGTCATGGTTAAAACTGATTTTCTTTCAAACAAATAGATGTGAACTTCACCCTCAATTAATCAATAATTGATGCATCGTCTATTTTAGTGGTACTTCTAACTGCCTGGTCCCAGTTTGATGAGCTGTTTTCCCATGTCGGCAGGTGTTACGTTATAATGTCCCTGCTAATGTAAGGTCACCAGCTCAAATCTGGTTACTTACTGAAGCTAGGCAGGGCTAAGCTTCAGTCAGTAGCTAGATGGGAGACCACATAGGAAAACTAGGTTGCTGATGGAAGTGGTGTAAGTGAGGCCAGCAGTAGGCATTCAACCTGTGGTCTGTTTGAGTCCTAATGCCCCAGTATCGTGAAGAGGGACACTATACTGTCACTACACTGGCGGCCCATCTTTCGGATGAGATGTTAAACCGAGGTCCTGACTCTCTTTGCTCCTTAAAAATCCCATGGCACTTCTCATTAAGAGGAGTGTAACCTGTGTGTCCTTGTCAATTTGTCTCCATCGGCCCTTCCCAATCATATCATCTCAATATTCCCCTTCTACTTAATTGGCTGCATTGCTGTCTCTCCACTCCACCAATAGCAGGTGTGAGGTGAGTGCACTGGCGCTCCAAGTGGATGCTGCACACTGGTGGTGGTGTGGAGAGACCTCCTCCCTCACGATTGTGAAGCACTTTAAGTGTATGGCCATATACAATAAATGCGATCTATAAATACACATTACATTACATTACAAGCTCCTGATTGGTTAATGCAGCACGAGTGTCCGTCAAAGTTTAGATTTTTAAACTTGAGTGATTTGCGCGTCAAATGCAGCATGTCTAATTGTGTCTTTGCTTGACATGTAAATCAAGTGGTACTAGTGGTACTGCGTGCTAACATATAGCACCAATGTGCTCACGGCGACCCGAGTTCGAATCCCAGCTCGAGGACCTTTGCCGATCCTTACACTCTTTCTTACTTTTTCCCAATGCTTTCCTGTTTGAATTCTTTACTTTCCTGTCATAATAAAGGTGAAAAACCCCTAAAAATAGTTATATACTCTACAACGTTATACAGTAATGCCAGTTTACTCATTTGTTGCTAATTTTCTGTGGTAAACTGTGTGTAAGTGAATAAGGCTTGCATCATACGCAATTCGCTTTACTTGTCAGTCATGCATAATATGCATTCACCACCTGTTGGAAGTCAATAATTGATGTTTATCCTTTTAAAATTGTAAATATTTTTTGTTATAAAAACACGTTGATCAGATTCATAACTAATCCGTGTAGTTTGATTATGGATTTATGTGCTTTTGGAAGCTTCAAAATGAAAGACCCTATGCAACACCATTATGCAACATGGAAGGGCCAGCATACAATTTAAAACTACTCCAATTATTTGTCTGACTGAAAAAAAGTCATATGCTTTACTGTACAATGAGTATAGCTTGAGGGTTAGAAAATGATGGGGTAATTTTATTTTTGGGTGAGCTATTTCTTTTAAGGCACCAATATGCACCATTTAGGGGTAAATGAGGAACAAAGGTGCACCCCAGTGACAGCTTTTGTACCTTTTTGTCTGAGAGTGAAACTGAGGAAAGAGCTTTTGAGCTTGTTTTGTGTCTTACTGTGTTTTTGCCTAACATTTTTGGAGGTTTGTTAAATAAGTCCATTAGTTAGATGTGAGTTGTCAATTTTAAAAGTTATGGAGTTTTTTTTCTTAATGAATGAATAAAAAAAATACAACAACTATAAACAAAATTGATGAAATACCTTTGTTTTGTGAATCAACATAAATTCAATTCTGAAAAATAATGTGATGCCGAAAATTCAGCTTTGCCATCATTTGAATGAATCTCAAAATGAAAAAATCTAATTGCTAAAATACTTTTCTACTTTTGTTCATTTATTCATTCATTTTCTTCTCGGCTTAGTCTCTTTATTAATCCGGGGTTGCCACAGCGGAATGAACTGCCAACTCATCCAGCATTTGTTTCACGCAGCGGATGCCCTTCCAGCCACAGCTTATCTCTGGGAAAACTAATGTTGTTGTTTTGATTGAATAAATGCAGGTCTTGGTGGGCGTTTTCTTTCAAAATTGTAAAAATATTAATCTTTTCAGTGATTTACAATTTTATATTAGATATTTGGTCAATTATATGCATCTCATTTTATAATTTCAACAATTTAAATAATTATTAATATACTCTGTTGGCAGTTATGATATGGCTGAATTTTTAATGATTTATAAAGATTTGCGATATACTCGTACATGTTGTTACTTGCAACATGAAAACCAATTAACGCTTTCAATTAAACGTCAATGTGCAGAATGATTAAAAATCATAATCCTAATCTTGAACAAAAAGAGAGTAATAAAAAAGAAGACGAGCTAATTTGATTTCAGCTTGTGTAAAGAAGTTGTTAGTTAACGTCTCCAGTAATTAAAATGGTTCTTTATTGGCAGATGCAGGAAGCAGGAGTTTGAATGTTGCTGTAGGGCACTCATTTCTTCATACATAATTTTTTTTTATATAAGCCAACATTTATAAATGTCATGTTACTGGTTATGCTATAGCCTCAGGAATGGTATTTTATGACAACAGAGCTGCTGCATTATTAGATTAGCAAAGAAGTACCGGGATAAAAGTTTGGATATGAACACTTTTGTCACTTTTGACATCAAAACAGAGCAAATTATATTTTGAAAGTAAACTGAGAGAAACCAAACATGACGCTGCTGACAGGTGTCACTGCTTAAAATTGCTTAAGGGTTTTCTGAGTTTAAACTTTGTTGTAAACTTTTCGTGTGGTGCAGTTAGGTGCCAATTTTACTATCATCAAGTGTTTTTTTTTTTAAATATATTTGAATGCCTCAAAATATTTGGATATTTTCTGGCCTGTAAAAATAATTGATTGAAATCTAATTAAAGTTCTGACAATCTTAGTTTTTTTTTATTGTGTTGCTTAAATGGACCAACAATTCTGTCAGATTCTGTTGGATAATTGTGCAATCTCTCTTTTAAACAATAAATAAATAAATAAATAAAGATCCTCAATGTATACACCATCAAGCAGCTCTTTAACAACATCGATATTTTGATAGTTTTAAGTCTTTGTCTATTAATATTTAAATATTTTTTAATTTGTATGTTTTTTATGTATTTGACAGTTGTGAAAGGAAAGTAATCAATTGCTTTACTCATATTTAAGCAGTTCTCTAAAAACACTGAAGTATTGAGGGAATCTTAAACATAGGCAGTTTGAAATTATCTAATGATAACTTTTCTAAACAAAGAATGAATTTATTTATTTGGCTGTTTTGCATTTGAGTTGGGACAGTTGACTGCAAACGAGGTGTGGAGAAAAGAGTGATATTGTAATTCTTTTACAAATAATCCTAAGTATTTTTAACCTAGAAACAACTGTTTCATAGTATTCTTATTAGGAACAATAACAACAACAACAGCCATAACAACAACAAAATTCATAACAACAGCAACATCAGCAACAACAATCATAACATGAATAACAACTGCAGCCATAACGACAACAATCATAGCAACAATAATCATGGCAATAATATTAACAACTACAACAACCACAACAACAATGGTGACAGTCATAAAACAACAATAATTTTAACTACAATAATCGTAACAACAATAATCGTAATGACAACCATAGCAATAATAATAACAACCACCACAACTATGATGACAATCATAAAACAACAATCCTAACAACAATCACAGCAATAATAATAACCACAAGAACAATGACAACAACCGTAATGACAACAATCATAACAAATCATCCTAACAACAACAACTGTAACAGCAATGCCAATCGTAACAACAATCATAGCAATAACAATAGTTATAGCAATAAAGCAATAATCATAGCAATACTAACAACCACAACAAACATAAAACAACGACTGTAACGACAACAACAATAATCGTAACAACAACAACAATAATAGTAACAACGACAATAATCGTAACAACAGGAACAATCGCAACAACGGCAATCATAACACTCATGGCAATAACAACAATCTTAACAATAAAACAGTAATCATAGCAATAATAACAACAATGATGACAATCATAAAACAACAACCGTATCAACAACAACAACAACAATAATAAGAACAACAATAATCGTAACAACAGCAACAATCTCAACAACAACAGCACTCATATCAACAATCATAGCTATAACAACAATCATAGCAATAACAACAAAAATTGTAACAACAATAATCGTACCAACAACAACAATCGTCAATCATAACAACAATCACAGCAATAATAATAACAACCACAAGAACAATGACAGCAATCACAACAACAAATCATCATAACAACAACAACAAATGTAACAACAACGCCAATCATAGCAATAGCAACAGTCATAGCAATAAAACAATTATCGTCGCAATAATAACAACGACGACAATCATAAAAGAACAACTGTAACGACAACAACAATCATAACAACAACAATAATAGTAACAACAAAAATAATCGTAACAATAATTGTAACAACAGCAACAATCGGAAAAACAACGTAATCATAACAACAATCATAGCAATAATGACAATAATCATAGCAATAAAGACAACAATAATCGTAACAACAGCAACAATCGGAAAAACAACGCAATCATAACAACAATCATAGCAATAATGACAATAATCATAGCAATAAAGACAACAATAATCGTAACAACAGCAACAATCGTAACAACGTCAATCATAACAACAATCATATCAATAATAACAATAATCATAGCAATAAAAACAACAATAATCGTAACAACAGCAACAATCGTAACAACGTCAATCATAACAACAATCATATCAATAATAACAATAATCATAGCAATAAAAACAACAATAATCGTAACAACAGCAACAATCGTAACAACGTCAATCATAACAACAACAGTCATTGCAATAATAACAACAACAACAATTTCAACAATCATAAAGCAACAATAGTAACGACAACAATTGTAACTACAACAATTGTAACAACAACAACAACAACAATTGTGACAACAACGAGAATCATAACAACAATCATAGCGATAACAACAATCATAGCTATAATTACAATAATCACAGCAATAATATTAACAACCACAACATTTGTTAATTAAACATTTGACAAAAATGATAAAACAGCAATTTTAAAAGCAGCAATTGTAACAGCAATCGTAACAACAGCAATCATAACAACAATAATGGCAATAACAACAACAATCAAAGCAATAATAATCATAACCACAACATTAACAGCAACAATGATGACAATCATAAAACAAACATAACAACCGCAATTATAACAACGATCATGGCAATAACAATAATCATAGCAGTAATAAGAATCACAACGACAAAAGTCATGAAACTACAATCATAACAACAACCATGACACTAATGATAGCAATAATCATAGAAATAACAATAATCATAGTGATGATGATGTATTTTTTATATCTTCGTAAGGTGTAGGCACTTCTAGCAGCCATGCTAACCAGCCGATCCTCAAGGCTATTTTGCTTTAACCATCACCCTTTATAAACCATTATATCCCACTACAACATGCAGCTTGACATGCATCACTATTTTACCTCTCACAAGTGTTTCAGGTTGCTTCAAGGACCAAACATGTATTGGATTTTTTTTTTCTCTTTCTCTGCAGGACTTTGACATTGACATTGTAGCAGTGATCAATGACACCGTTGGCACCATGATGACCTGCGGTTATGATGACCATCACTGCGAAATTGGCCTCATTGTCGGTGAGTCAACAGTCTTTCGTTTGCACTTATATTCTCACTGAAATCAGTGGGAAAATATCAGCCAGGGTGTCGGTGATATTGTCAAGCAAACTGATGTGCTTGGTGTGAACGAAAGGTGCTTTGTTTAAACATGGACCCTTTTGTTCTGCCGTTTATTTAGCAAAATGGTTGAGGGAACACAGGAGCACGCACTTCAGACATTTAATAGCATGTCAAGGTCTATTATTATGGACTAAGAAAGTTATTTTTGGTGTCATCTTGACAGTTCCTAATCCTTGCGCGCCTCTACATGAGCTAATTGTTTCAATTCATTTTTGCCAATAGTCTGTGAAATGTGCGTAGTTGTAGAGGCAAGAGCAGACGTCCTTGAGTCTTTCACTTTTTCTGCTTCGGATATTATACACTCTCTCTTTTACAGCAAGAACACAACTCTTTAGGATGTTTTTCACTTTTTTTTTTTTTTGCGTTGATTTGTTGTAATATACAGTTGAAGTCAAAAGGATGATTCGAGTTCTTTTTCAAATGTTTTTAAGTGCTTCTTATTTTTTTAAGCTTATTAGTTTAATAAATTTATAATAACGTATATATTTTGTCTTTGCCATAGAGGCAGGGCTTAACTAGAGTAATTAGGTGAACTCTACAAGTTTAGTTAACTGGGCCAATTATTGAATAACTGGTTTGTTCTGTAGCCAATCAGATTAAATTATTTCTTAAAGTGGCTGATAATATGGACCTGTGATGATATGGAATTGTTTTAAAGCACCTAAAAGCATCTTATTCCAGGCAAACTAAAATAAATAAGACTTTAGACTCTAAATAAGACTGTAGAAGAAAAAATAAATATAGCAATACAGTGAAAATGTCATTGCTCCATTAGGATATATAAAAAAAAAACATTCACATGAAGAAAATTTCCACTCCAGTGCATATACATTTGATATCAGAATTATTAGCTCTCCTTTGAATACTTTTTTTTTTCCCTAAATATTTCCCAAATTATGTTTAACAGAGCAGGGAAATTTTCCCAGTATGTCTGATAATATATTTTTTTCTTATTTGTTTTATTTTGGCTTGAATAAAGCAGTTTTTAATTTTTTAAAACCCACTTTAAGATCAATATTATTAACCCCTTTAGGCTATATTTTTTTCTATAGTCTACAGAACAAACCATCATTGTACAATAACTTGCCTAATTGCCCCAACTTATTACCTTAAATATTAAAACTATTATGTTTATAAATGTTGAAAAGATCTTCTCTCCATTAAACAGAAGTTGGGGAAAAATAAGGGTGGCTAATAATTCTATTAATTATGACTTCAACTGTATTATAAATCCAAAGAGTAACACACAAAAAACAAACAAATGAAATGGGCAACTAAGTTACTCTTTTTTTCAAGATTTAAGATCTCCAGAATGTGTCTGTAAAGTTTTAGCTCAAAACAGTCATCAGCATATTTATTAAACTTTTTTTTTTTAAATGTAGGCTGTTAGGACATTGTAGCCGCTTCTGTTGCCTGTGCCTTTATTGCAAATGAGCTAGTTTACCCTGCCCACCATTCCCACATGCGTGACCAAAAAATTAAGCAGATCTCCCTTACTACAGTTAAAACTTTCCCAGCAGTTTTTGATATATTTGTTGTGGAGTTGATCCAAGCCACACACACACACACACACACACACACACACACACACACTTATCTTTGCAACACACACACACACACACACACACTTATCTTTGCACTGTTTTTCACTGCAAATGTGACAGAATTCACATTAACATACAATGCTGTTGAGACATGTATGTTAATGTACAAAATAAATTTGATTTACGTCCACAAACTGGGATTGAAGCAACTTGTGATGAATTACACTAATTTTATAACAAACATGCACTGTTTTAAAAACGTTTAACTTGTAAAACTCCTTGAGGTGCTGCTGATCACAGAGAGCTGAACAGATCAGTTGCTTTGCACACATCCTGTCTTGTTAATATGATTATATGCATTACTACGGAGACATGTTAATATGAGGCTGTGGTGGGCCTTAAAAAGGGAGGGGTTTGGATCATGTTTTTATGTCAGATTATTTAAAAAAGAGACTTACTGTGTTTCTATCACTCCAATATGACTGTGGACACACTATACCTACACACAGTTCTGTTCGAACAGCTTCCAAAAGATTTTCATCATAGGTGCCCCTTAAATGACTATCAATGACAAATGAAAATTAATATAGCAGGCAAATCAAAAATAATAATAAAAAAAATACACAAATGGTTGAAAATCCATTCAGATAAAAAAAAAAACGATTACGTACTCAAACTTTGTTTATTATGAACTCGCATTGTAAATATACATTGGACAAACACATTAATACACATTTAAAACAATAAAGCAATTAAATTTTATTTATTTATAATTGGGATTAAGGGAGCGATTTGTTTGTCCAGTCATTATACTTTACTTCTTAACCCTCTGGGGCTGAGGGTGACATGCACTGACATTTGTGTTGTTTTCAGTATCTTAAAAACATATAAATGGCTAAAGTGTGATAACACTGTAAACAGCAGTAATACCCTACAATAATACCCAGACAGCATGTTTGTATGTGTTTGTGTTTTTGAGAAAGAAACATTTATGCGTGATTAGTAAAAAACTAAAATTTTAAAGTCACTGAAACAAGGCCGTGAAACACACAGAGAACATTTGTGCACAAGACTTTTGAGAACTGGATTTGGTAGTCTAGTGTTTTTCCTTCAAAATGATGTGAGAATCATCTTGTTCACTTGCTCACAGAAAACAATATAATAAATTAAAAATTCTAAGTCACTTTTTGAGTGAAATTGGTTTATGCGAGAAGGTGTGAACTCTCATTACTATGCAGTGAGTCACACCTGAGAAGACAAAGACCTGCATAATGAGCTGCATAATGAGCCATCAGACAGGTATGTGACTAGGAGGGAAGAGTTTCAAGAAGGAATCAGAGGAAAGTTTATTTACTTTTTTGTTTGCAGTTTATTTAAAATATGTTAATCACACAAAATAACTGGAGATACACTTGTGAGAGTCAATGCACTCTATAAAACTCTGCAAACTTTTAAACTTACACATAGCAAATCTACTGATTTTAATTATTATTTTTTTTTTTGTAAATGAAGTGTTTTGTTGCAAAATTAGATTTATCCATTTTAAGAAATGTTGGTTATTTGACATTATTATTTAAGACATCAACAGTCAGGTTCTTTCACAATTTTATAAATTAAACTATTACTTGAGCTCAGTGAAGTGCAGGAACACAATATTTTATTCTTCAAATCCAGGATATTTTTATTTAACTTTGTCTATAAATAGTTTATAAATAAGTCAAAAACATGCCGAAATGCAACGTATTATTTTAACATTGTCAAACATCTTAAATTGGTTAAAAACAATACATTATAATATATGGAATAGTATATACAAAGTTTGAAATATAATAATAAGATTCTGAGTTTGTTTTGGTAATCTCATATTAGAGCAATGTTATTTTAAAGAATGATAATTAATCCATATTAACAAAAATTACTGTGAGCAAAAGAAGGCAGGTGAAAAACACACCATGTGCGATAATGAAATCTTTTAAACAGTCGCGTGCATCACAGCAGCTTTTGGCGCAAGTGATCATCCTCTCATTCGGTATTCACAGTAATTATTTAAAGAATAAACTTACAAAGCACACTTAGAAATGTAACCTTGCAGACAGGTATCCTGTGATGGGGAGCAGTGCAGGAAAAAGGCAGTATTTCATTGTAAACGCTGGCCTTCTTCTTGACATCAGCGGAGACTGACAGACGCAAGACCACTTGGTCCACTTTTGTAGCGTTTTTAAACATTTTGTGACGTTGAAGACTACATTTTCATCTAATAGTTTGTCGGAATGACACAGACCAACATTACTCTCATTACTGAGCAAACTCGGAGTACTTCTTGTCTACTTTAGCTCTCTTTGCCACTGGTCCTTTACCTCCGTTGTTTTCACATCTGGATTTACATATGAAGCGCGCTTACTGAGAGGCGGGACCACGCTGCTGTAATGAGGCAATATAGGAGAATCCGTACCAGCCCTTATTTTTATACGGATTACATAAAAAGAGATCATTTGTGTTCGACTTGAATTGGTTAATGCAAAAGTAGACATATCAAGCTTTATATATATGTCATAAATCATCATCTTTGTTGACTATTTGCCGAGATTCCTTTCATTTTAGTGATGTGTTTTTCTGACCACAGTCTGCTCGCGCCTTCAGACGCTTGTAATAACAATGCCCCGTGGGCGTGGTCGCATTAAAACTAACGAGATAAGACTGAGAAACTAGACATAGCGTTGGTTTCATACCGATTACTTTATCAAGCAATGTTTGTTTTCAACATGCATAGCTGTGTTTAAAAGTAGCCACTTTAAGCTTTCTAGAAATACATTTCTCATCTGGTTGTGTTTTGTATTTGCGGAGTTTTAGCGCATTTTCCCGACGCGTTTCTAAAAACAGTTCACGGAGAGAGAAAAGACCGAATGCCTACACTGTTTGTTTTCCATATTTTGCAAAGGCACACACGTTTGTTATTGTTGTGAGTATACACAACAAAAAGATGACACATAACAGATTCAATTGATGTATTGATCTTATCTGTACGCTCAAAACTGAAAGTGTAATTTAAGTTCATTTCAGCAGTTTGACACCACCTCAGGTCAAAACGCGTATACGCGGTCTTCGACCCCAGAGGGTTAATGAAGTCTTTAAAACCGATTGTCGCTGGCTATTTTTCTTTAGAATGTTTAAGACGCATGTTAATGAGAACAATAATTGTGTACCCACTCGTAATCATGCAAATAGAGAAAATCCTCTATAGTTGAAGACAGCTGGTATATTTTGAATCATAAGGCAGCGCTGGGGGACTACAGAAGGGCTTAATGGTTGTTGGGCTAATAAAACAAGCTTACTTGAGGCTTACCCTGCCATATT